GACCGGATGTCATTCTCTTTACAGACGCGTTATTCACCATAGATGACTAACGATTTGAGAAACGCAATTTGATAATAGATAATCGCTTCAAGCGTAGCAGTTGGATACTTCGATAGAATTAAAAATTATCATGCGACAAAATTCCTGGCAATATCAGGTAGAACTAATGGTAATAAAGGCTAACCAAAACAGTATTGAATAACAATCCGAAACACTCGTCAACTCTATTGAAAATTTCTCAGTCAAAGTACCAAATCAGTTCAAAATAACTAATGTTAAGCAGTCTTGCTCCATTTATGATTACCTCAGTTGAGAAAACGATTCCATCATTGTTTCAGTAATAGTATTCAAGGGAGTTAAGGATCCAATAATAAACGTCATGCGGTACAAGTTGATAAGTTGGTGGGATAAAGAATCAGTAAGCATCGTGCAATCCACAAGCGAAGAAATAGAATGTACTACAGGATGATGTGTGAAGTAAATTATATATTTGAGGACACTGTTTCAAGTGATTAGATGTGATGTATGTAGACAGTCAGTCAGTCAGTAACAACGTAGAACTTCGTACGTACGTACATCAGTTCGAGTTGCCATACCACATTAGCACAGAGATGCAGTGGTCGATTCAAATCCCGTAGTGGTAGAGGTAATAAGAGTATAAGCAGTTATCGGAAACATTACGGTTTGGAGATGTTATTTAAAGAGTATGATCCAGTGAAATAAATTTGGGAAGAGGAAAAAAGGGACATAAAGAATTCAGAGTAGAATTTGGGAGAACACAAAGGGTGTATGCACCTGCGCCATTGTAAACGATTTTGAGCCATGTCATTCAGGGTCTCTAACCATCGGTTGCTATCACCTCGCGGTCCCCAACCAGGTAGTCTACACCTACCAACATGGCTCAGTTCACTTGTCAGTGACTTCATGGATTTGTGCCATGTTTTGGTCTGGTCGCCCCTAGCTTTCTTCCGACCTACTCCCCTAAACCATGAAACATCAAACGTCGGGGCAGTCGATGGTTGGGTATACGTAACACATGTCTCAGCCATCCAAACTGATGAAGTTTCACTACTTCATCAATGGATTTGCCATTCTTACCTTGTGCCCGTTTCTTAACAACTCCATTACTTACTCGATGGTCCCAGGATATACGAGCAATATTTCGAAGACACCTATGATCAAATACTAGTAACCTACGGATATCCTCTACTCTTACCGGCCACGTTTCACTGCCATAAAGTAGGACGGAACGAACTGCTGCGCAGTAAACCCGTCCTTTGGTTGATAGACGGATATCTCGCTACGCCATAAATGACGCAAGTTGGCAAAAGCTAGTCGAGCCTTCTGTATCCGTGCTGAGATTTCGTCACACACCAGACCACAAGGGCTGATGAGACTTCCAAGATAAGTGAAGCGGTCGACACGCTCAACTACTTCACTCCCTATCACTAGTTCGGGTGTCGATGCAATCCAATCCTGAAGCAACATTTTGTATTTCGAGGGGAGAATCGCATGCCGAACATGCTTGCATTGTTGCTTAGAGTGGTCAGAAGACTCTGCATTTTGTGAGCGTCTTCGCCAAATAAAACTATGTCATCAGCATATTCTAAGTCAACAAGTGAACCTCCTGGTAGAAGTTCAACCCCTGGAAATTTAGATGAGGAAAGTGTTATCTCTGAAAGCACGTCAACGACAAAGTTAAACAAGAATGGAGAGAGTGGACAGCCCTGACGAACACCACTTGAGGAAACCAAATCTGATGACAGTTCGCCATAAGCTCTCACTCGACCAGTTGTGTTCGAGTAGAGAGCCTTTATAAGGTTAATGTACTTCTTTGTTACTCCTTTCAATGAAAAACACTGCCATGGAACCTCACGATCAACAGAGTCAAATGCCGCTTCAAGGTCGAGAAATACTACCATTGTGGGGCGTCTGAATGTGTGTCTGTGTTCTAGAACCTGACGTAGTGTGAATAAATGGTCTATACAACCACGTCCAGGTCGAAAACCAGCCTGATTTTCTCTAGTCTGTTCTTCACGAGCTTTGGTTAGTCGTCGGAGTATTATTGAAGCTAACATTTCAGACACTATATTAGTCAAACTGATCCCTCTGTGATTGTCACAAGAGCACTTTTGTCCTTTCTTATAGACTGGCACAATCAGTGATTGAGACCAGCCAGATGGGATTACGTCCAGTTCCCAAATTCTACCTAAGACCTCAGTTAATCTCACTGTTATTGCTGGACCACCATCCTTAAAAATCTCAGGAGTAAACCTGTCAGGGCCTGCTGCTCTCCCTCGCTTCAGATTTCCTATGGCTTTTTCAACTTCGTAAAGAGTCGGAGGACCTACGTTAACTTGCCATTTAGGTTGACTGGAGATCGTGGGAAACCGAAGTGTGGCTGAAGGCCAGTTGAACTGATCCCTAAAGTGTTCTGCCCATCGGTCCAGTCTCCTAGATTGAGAATGTATAATATGTCCATCTTTCTCTGAGAATGTTTCGTTAACAGTCGGTTTCTTAATACCGGTTTCCTTAACAAGTCTGAACAATTGTCTGCTATTACCTATTGCTGCTGCCTTTTCCATCTCTCTTGCTTTCGCCAACCACCACTGTTCTCGATCATTGCGTAGACTTCTTGTCAGCTTGCGCTTACGCTGACTGCGCTCTTCATTATGTTCAGAGTCAGGTGGAATGAGTTTTCGAGCATCTATCAGTGCGATAGATGCTGCTGATATCCAGTGTTGCTCCCTAACCTTACAGTTTACCGTACTAGCAGATATCACTGCTGTTTCCACAGCTTTTCGGATATCATTCCATGCTGCCTCGGGATGGGCATCACGTACATGGCTGCCTAACTGTTTTCCTAGTTGTTCCTGAAATATACTCTTAGCTTGACTATCATTAAGTAGAGCCCTAAGAGGTTTACTTGCAGCGTCTTTCCTACGTCCAGTAAGACGCAGACAGATACGCGCTCGTACGAGAGCACGATCTGAATCTAAGCATGTGCTCCAGAATGAGCGACAGTCTTCTATCGAGCCCCTCCATCGGTGGCTGATAGCGACGTGATCTATTTGGGTCCAACGTCGGGACGAATTAGGGGGTCGCCATGTTAAAAGATGTTTTTCCTTATGCTTAAAGTTAGTATTTGCAAGAAAGAGGCAGTTATCTGAGCATAGCTGCAACAGACGGTCGCCATAATCTGTTCTTTGAGCCACGATGCTATAAGATCCACCCAAGTGTCTTTCCCTTTCGCTTAGTTTACCTACTTTAGCATTAAAGTCACCAGCCACTATTACTACATCAGAACGCCTAGCTTTTAGGAGGAGGTCGGAGAGCTTTCTATAAAACTCATCTTTTACATCATCTGAGCTGCAGTCAGTGGGAGAATAGGCAGAGACGACGAAGAGGCAACGACGAGTGACCCTATCCTCCCGAGTCCTTATTGTTCCGTTTAGTCGGATAGCGCACAAACGACTGTCTATTAGGATCCACTCTAAGAGAGCTAGTTCTGCCCTAGGACTCAATGCTATACCTACGCCGGCGAGTCCACGGGAAGCAGAATCTGGGCTTCCAGATACACGAAGTGTGAATCGAGTCGGTTCTTTATTTTAGCATGGTGAGGTCAGATGAATGACGCTACTCGGATCCTGTATGCGCGTTTCGGAGACGCAGCACACATCCATGGCGCGGGATTCTAAAGTCCTAGCTAAGGAAGCCTGTTGTCCTATTTGGCACAGTGTTCGGACGTTGAAAGCTCCTACATGTAGTTTAGAGCGTGGTTTCAGGAGACCAGGAATAACGTTCCGCGTACTCGAATCGTTTGCACTAGCGGTGCGAGGTGAAAAAAGGACGTGAGAAGGGTTAGTCGGGAAGATAAGAGTGGTATTAAGAGGTGTAGGAAGGATTTGAATGTGACCAACTGGGTCTCGTGTGCTGCTACGGGTATGAGGGCTGGTGTCACTTTCCGGCTGCCCACACCGTGCAAGGGTATTTCTTGAGGAACCTGAAAAGGAATTCGGATTAATGTCAGCCTTAACGGCCTGGGAGCGTGACCGCAGAGCCCAAGGCACAACTGCTTGAGGGCGGTCGGGCACGGCCTTTTTGTGGGAGGTTTTTGATGTGCTAGCTCCGTTCTTCAAAGGGCCTTACGGCCGGGGACGGAAATCCGTGAGGTAAGGTGAGATGTGACATTTTTAGGGTCGACCTTTTCTAACCCCACCCCTCCTTGTGGGAAGGCAGCATCGCTGTAGGTGCTGGTTGTCCGAGGGAAACACCTTACTGCTGTCACATCTCTTTACAGTCAGCAGTACGACTTCGCCCTCAGACCTTGAGTTGCTGCTTTTAGTCTTACCGTTCTCCAATCGACCTGCCTGGCATGGTAGAACCTACAGGAACATACACTCCAGCCAACAAAGCTCGGTTGGGTCATCACGATAGGCAAGGCCGACCACCGCGTCAAGGTATCAGCTACGGTCGGTGTAAGCAGTAAGTGATGGATTGCCTTAAGTGTGCCTTGTTTTTCTGACTAACCAAGCCGTCAGTTCATGAGAATGTCAATGATGACTCTAAATTGTGTGTAAGGATGTAGATTTCCAAGCCTGTAGCTCTCAGAATAGTCTCAATATGGTTGAATACCTCAGGAGAGTTAGCTTAAATTCAGTCTCACTACTGAAGTTTGTTCTGATCTCTTATCTTTCTACCTGTGTCATTCCACGTCTTGCATTCCCTGATCACGTTTGTTTGATTGGAACTGTTCCTTGTGTTTAGTTTTCCATTGTAGCTGTGGTTATTTCATCTGTTTCATCTTGTCGATTTCCCCTCTCGCTTTTTTGTGGTAACTTGGATCAGTTTCCACTTGTACTAGGTCGTAAGTTGCGTTTCACTGATTCACTTGTCCCTTATTCGTTGTAGTGTCCAGATTTTACAGTACAAGCCAAAAAATGAACATATCTTTGAAAAAAGAGCAAAGTATAAAGTATAATTTCTGTTATTTTTTTTAGGTTTCTGCACTTTATTATACTTTATGGATAACAGTATTCACGTTTGTGGTATCACCGCTTTTAATTCGTCGTCTGAACTTACGTAAGTTTGTATTTGTAATTAATGAGTACATGGTAATGAAACACCACAGACACTTCAAAATTGTGAAAATACATGCTCTAGCCTACTTCTTGTATTGTTTATTAAAATGATCAACTTTCAGATATTAGTTTTAAAACTCAAACACCACTCCACGTACCTTGGTTTAGGCAGTTGTATGATATCCTTAATTTTCAAATACAATTGTTTCATTTAAAACAGGTTATCTTGATATTTTTTGGGTTACTAATCTGAATTAACCCAAATAGTTAAAATGATAATGTCTCTTGTTTTAAGATTCCACCTAAATTTCTTATTTTATCTATTTTAATTAATTGATAAGTCGCCATAGAGTTTAGAGTGTTTTCGACCTCTTGAGAATCACCATATTTTTGTCATAGATTACAGTTAAGGCAGCCATTTCTTGTTCTGTGTTCTGCTGACTGTCAATCAGTATTGAAATATTAGACTTTGTACTGGCGGAGTAACGAATTGTCTCCGAAAATCAAATTATTCTAGGTGTCAATTTGTATTTCTCTGTATCCCTGTTTCCCTTACCCTTTGATCAATCAAAAACTAGTTCTAATCGTCCAATAGAGAGCGTGCTTTCAGATGAATAAAAACTGTTAGTTTCTATGGCGCAGCATTTTAAAAATCTCATTACTGATGTCGTGTTTCACATATTGATATCGAACAGCGAAGTGCAGAAAATATTTTGACAGATGTTTGTTGGCGTTGGATTTCCAAGTGATGAAGAGTTAGTTAGACAATTAACAGTTTATGGGAATCAAACTTTCTGTCGTTTCGTTATTCGGGTTAATCATTGCTATGAGGACGAATTTTACATTAAATATGTATGCAGGACGGAAGGGTACCATCAGCACAAAGGTATGTTTCCTCAAATATCCTGTATGTAATATGTTAGGCGAGCTATTGTTTGTCGATATCGGTCCTTCGCCCATGTCCTTGCGGTAGATGGATTTCTCACTGCAATTAAATCACGAATGACTCATAATCATGATATACTACGCGTTGTTCATGAGTGCAGCGCATGAACCCTTCGTGTGACGGGAGATCAAATGAAGAGAATTCGCCCTTTACTGCTGTCGGGAGCTGCAGCCATTGTATTAAATAACTACGTTTACAAAACATACGAAAATTCAATCATTGGACATAACGTCTTCAGTATGCGGTGCTGTGTGTTTGAGCAGACACTATTCCTAGGTTTTTCAATTGTTTTCACAATGTTGAATTAATAGGTAGCTTCAAAACATTCACAGTATACATCGTCCATCTGGGAAGCGAAGCAGAGACACAGATACGACTTGGATTACAAGGAGAACATGAAAGGGCTCTCTATATGGCCATTGTACTCAATTATTTAACAGTCTTCCATTTTTTTTCTTGAAACTAAGAGTTCTCAAAAAATGAAGAATAAATATATGTATACGGATTTTTAGCAAATAAATGTAACTTACTGCTGTTGTTGTTATGGTGATCCAAAATGTTCCTGGATAAAATCCAGAGAGGGTCCGGAAACGCTGGGAAGCATTCTGTGCAATCAGCGTTGAATAGAAGTTTCTGAGAAACATCGAGGAATCAGTGAGTCACGTGTCTTATTTCCGACTGGATGATCACCTATTCCACTGCAATGTTTATGTTCTATAACTTTGACTAGGCAATAAAATTATTCCTCTAAACTGTTAGGTCAGCCTATATTGAAAATAATTAACGATGTTTACTTTGTGACGAACACTGATCAATTACAAAAATATGTTTGTAAACCTTCCATGGTGTGGGCAGCCGGGAAGTTTTCTAACCTCCAAAAAGTTAGGCGCTCTAATGTAGTAATAGTGGCTGGTGAATTTAATGCTCAAGTCTGTAAACTAAGCGAAAAGGAAAGACATTGGAGTGGATCTTATAGTGTCATGGCTCAAAGAGCAGATAGTGGCGACCGTCTGTTGCATTATGCACCTGACATTGATAGTAAGATAATGGTAACTGGGTGGTAGAACTGTGTTAACAAAATTAAGACTCTTAACTTAAATATTATAGATTTGCCATAGATTTCATGTTGTTTTCCCATTTCAAATCCAAAATTCAATCGTTGATTTGTTTGTGATTGAAAACGGATGAGGGAATTTATTTATTGTGGTCTAATTTTGCTGATGGCTACCTAATATACCTATTGATGATTTCAGTTCAACGTGTACAGAATTCTTCGTGCAATGTACCTTGATTATTTCCTATATTTTAGTGACTTCGTAATATGCTAATAACGCCTAAACAAGTAATATTGAGATTTTACGATTGAAAATCGAATTTCCTGAAAACCATAGTGTTATGCTTAACATTTAATTGAAATGCTGCTGAGAGTAATTTTCAGCATATACTGATATCAGTTGGAATCATGAACACCAGCAAACAGTCATTTTGTTTTAGTATGCGGTTTTTCTTCAGTTTGCACCTACAAATGTTTATGGGATTGAACCTGGGGTCGTCACAGATAGACCAATAGCTTTGGACCGACATCTGCTTGTGACGAAAAGCATTAACATTAGATTTAGAAGGTAATCATATAGAACTCAGTAAAATTAGTGGTTCCTCTATTTTGATAAATAATTTGCAATATTGGTATACGGTAATCTAATTAGATTGATGTAGAATCTACTGTCCACTTAAGTGTTACAACGTTTTGTACCATTTGGGAAATTTGAACTAACTGTGTATAAGTAGAATGATAAATAACGTTTTGTTTAAGTTTATACGAAGGAAGCCATATTTATAAAGTTCAACTTCTATTTACTAAACCATGCTCAATCACAAAATGACGTTTGAGGAATTTCTAATGGCATAATTTTAACAATCATAATTAAATTGAATATTTTGCTTTATTTTGTTATTTAGTTGTACATCTGTTACGTACAAGACTCGGTAGAGGTATGTACCAGATATCGTCAACCAAAAAACTATTGCTTCCTATCTTGGTGTTTATGGTATATCAGATTTCATGTAAGTTTTAGAATGGAGTTTATTTCTGCTTCACTATTTTAATCTCTTCTCTTCAAAAACAATAAAATTAGAAGACCCTAGTGGGTTGATGTATAATTGATCCGTCAATAGAAAATCCATTGACATGAATATAAGTATAATTTGTTTAAAGTCTCACGTCATGACCTTGTTTGTTCATAGGGATTCAATAAGAAATGTGATTTAACTGATTGCTGTCTCATGCTAACTATTGTTAATATCGAATTATTCATTTGGGCTTTCATTACTGCAAGTTAATAATGCACAATTTCTATATGATGGGAAATGTTGCTCTTAGTCATGATTGGTGCCTGTCTATCCAGGAATAGAACTTCATCAATGTTTTTTTAAGAAATCAGCTCTGTATTTCGTTTTATGTATGAAATCAATTTTTGGAAACGGTAGGTTTTCTATCATCAAGACGACTTTCATATTCCCTGTAAAAGGAAGTATGGTTTTCCTGTAGGTTGTTGAAACGTTCCGCTAACGTTAGAAGCTAACTTATTTACTTGTTGTATATTGCTTTCCGTTAGGCTTTGATTATTTATCCCTTTGATTGTTATCCATCTACAACTTAGTGTTGTACTCTGTATATGTGCTCAGTATATGTACATACCTTGTTATAGAGTTTAGGAAGTTAAATAAATTCCACACTTGAAAATATATTACTTATCTTAAATTTATTTTTCTCTATATATTAAGGTCCACTTTTCATGGGTTATCTAGTAGCTGATAAATTTGGCTTTGTTTTCTCATTTGGTATTTATATTGACGGTATTTACATACCAGAAAGACTGACTTATGTGCTAGCAGAAAGTCAGGTAAACAATATCTATATAAATTGTTTATATTTGCTATGTTTATTGTTTTCACTCAACCCCATATCCTATAAGCCATACAATTGATAATCAATAATAATTTGAGGCGAACACAATCGTTTTACAGTGTAAGCGAAGTGAAATTAAGTGAATATCATGTCATCCTGGTCGATTTGTTTTTGTAAGAAACATGTTGGTGTATTTGTGTAACCGCTCAGTAATCAAAATTAAAATGAGTACTCACTTCATCTGACAGTATCATTAGCTAGCATGCAAAACGTATGACTTATAGCCGATTATATAGTTGTTGAATTACATTAATTTTCTTACTGGAAATGTTTAAATTAAGTAGTTACTTAAAGTATAGTTTTTTTCACTTTTAATGATAAAACCACATAACTATTCATCGTCCTGTATTACATATTTTTATTAATTTTGTCCTAAATTCTACTTCACAGCTATTTGCATTTGGCTTATATCTGTTGTTGTTTACTTATCATTGTGGTCATCAACAATATAATCCAATTTATCCATTGAATGGTGGTGAGCCGTCGGAGCAATATTCAAACAGTGTTTGTGAAGATGATATTCACTCGAATGCGTTGTGCATCCGTTTGCCGAAAATTTGCTCTTCACCTTATTTGCTTATCATAACAGTTATTTACATATCGCTTCAATTAGGGTCTAATTTTATTTTTGTTTGGCTATCCTATGGCTTTGTAGCGAGCCTTTTAAGTCCAGGACTTGTAATCCCTGTATGCGTTGCATGTATTTTATATATCTATTGTCCACGACCTAATCATGTGAAACATTGTATTCAATAAATGTTCATTTCTTTTTTCATTTTGTACTGTTTAAACGTTTGTTTTATTTGATTTGGTATATTTTTACTTCTGTGTGCTCATTCAGTGATGATATATCATATTTTTTTTCTCGTAGTTAACCAAACACATGTTTTACCATAGTTGTGATAAACATATATTTGCATTATTTATTGTATTATTGTTTGATTGTATCCACTATGTGTAGTTCATTTGAAGCAGAAAAATACTTATGTGAAAACAAAACCGAAAAGTAATCAACATAACTATCACCTTAAATAATGTGCTACTTAAACTATTAGATTTAAAGAAATAAAATTACTTACTACTGAGTAATTTATATGCCTAGTTCATTATGTGGTCTTAGTATTGAGACTACGAACCGGAAACTGTTGATTTTATTCTTTACTGTAGAAATTGTGTAGTAGTGCAGATCCTTGATGAGGAACTATCTGAGATAAAGTATTTATTTGCTCGGCTTATGTTTTTAGCGTCTTAATGGTAATACTTAGTATACTATATTCTATAGCGTTTAGTAAGTAATTTTACCATGTATATGTGCGAGTTTATCAAAAGAATTGTTCGAACATCTACAACGTGTTATAAACAGTCAATCTCTATCCAATTATGTCATTTCTTCAACATACTCTAAGTTACATAGTTCATCATATGTATGATCATTTGTCTTGTCACAGTCATCAGATAAAAACCTAGAAAATGGTGTGATATTTGTGCTGTTTTTGATATACTAATATAGAGATATGGCAAGTTATTGACTTAGATGGCTTCTGTATCGGTATTATGCTATTGTTTATGAATATCATCTAATCAAATTACCGAAAACTTATCAATACTCTGAGCGAAATGCACAAGGACAGTTTGAAAGATCGATGGTCTGATAAAGGTCTCATACTATTTGCTTACAATACAGAAATAGTTGCAGTTTAATGTCAAACAAAAAGAATGTACACATTCGCGTGTGTCTACTGGTTCTAGTTGCCAAAACGACTGAATCTACTACACACTAACAGTTTGAAAGCTGAAAAAATGTAGATGTCTAATTCTGAGAATGAATATGGAGGGTGACAAAAAAATAAGATAAATAAGGTTACAATGAGAATTTGTTACTTGCAATAATTTGAATTGATTTGTATGTTCACAAAAATCAAAATGTGGCTTATTTGGAAAACTGAACAAAGAAGTTTGCATTTATTCACAAAGCTTAAAACAACTAACTCTAACTGACACTTACTTTGATCACTGAATGTTTTGGGACTGTTTTGAGGCAACCATAAAGTTGTTAGTTGGTAGTCCAAAACACTTCCTGTAACCGTTGTCGAAACCGTGGGGTTGTGCGGTTTGTTGTATTCACCTGTAATTGTTGCTGGCTTAACAATCCGTCATCAAAAACTTTGTATCCAGAGGATCTGCGACTTTCCATAGATCACTAGAATTTTTCTATTCTTCATTTCAAGCATGATTATAAGTTATATCAACACTCCTGAAAAATCCCACCAATAGGCAGCTGACCAGTATTCTAATTTCGATTACTAAAGAAGTTAGTTACGGACCTACTAACTTCCAGAAGTACTCGGTGTTTTTCTGTTACTGACATTCCAACGAAGAAAATGTGCTGTTGTGTAAATGTCTTGCCCGTCTTTTCTCCCGCTATACCTCGAGAATGGATAGGTAACATTTATGCTTGGCTGTGATTTTGTTACTGTATCTCCTGAAAACTAACCCGTACGATTCTTTAATAAATTCAGATTACCCTTTGAATGAGGTGAGTTATCTGACTGTACTTCATTCCTTACCTAGTTTAGCTCAGATTGTTTAAACCTTAGCTCTTGCAGCTGACCTCCACACTAGTTTGGTAATCTAGTTGTATCACTGGCGTAGTTCTCTTTATCTCAAGTATTGTTTGAAGCCGTCTCTCTTCAATGATTTCTTTGCAGTCTTCTCTCGTGTTTAGTTGTTTGTCCTGATAGTCTTCACATAGATTACTTTTCATCTTGGTTGGTAATATGAATCATACTGGGGAAGTATTTGATAATGGCGCTTCACAATTGATTTCACTGTTATGGATACTTTTGCGTATGAGGTCGTGATTATCTATGTGGTGACAAGATGAAATTACTAGCCCTTTATTTATTATTCGGATTGGACTTAACTACGCCCAAATAGAACTGTAGATATTGTCACAATTACTTTTTATTATCCTCGGAATAACTTGCAAATCTACGCGTTACTTAACTGATTATCAGACATTTTGTAAAGCATGTACACAAACTGTGCAGTAATTGAAGTCCGAACTGTTGACCAGGAATACCTACTCTAGAATCCACCTAAAGATGGCTTTACACAGAGGTACCCACGCACCATAGAGATTCCTGATCCCCCTATTGGTATCTTTAGACCTAAAGAAAATTAGGAACCCACCAGGACTGGTGTCCCAACTTTGTACCACCTAACAATTAGCTGTCGTTATAACGTCCTTGACCCAGGAGTGTCAGACAACAAACCGGATTTAAGACATTTAAGTGGTGGTTGATGCGTATCAGGTTGAAAGATGATGCGGCGGTCGTTTAGCATCCCACAGATCTGAAGTTAATAAACTGGTCATGGCCAGTAAATATATGCATCGGTAACCAGGATGGTTTATCATTATTGTATCGGGTATGTATAAGGGAATAAAAACAGATCCGAAAAAGTTGCGTGGTCATGTGTTTATTGAGCCTCTTGAACCCTTCGAAGACACCTGTGGCGGTAAATAAGTTCTGAAATGAAATAGTTCTGTAGGTCTTCAACATTGATGCTAACCTCATTAGTTTTACCGAATACACCCTAGCTGAAGTCTCGTCATTTACTGATATTGACAGTCACGATTCTAAAGTAGTAATTGGAAACCCGGATGAAACCCTTACCGCTCCAAGTAATTCCGTATGGCTGTCCCGGAAGACGGAAAATCGACAGGCGTGTTTGAACAAATATGAAAAGGAAAAAACACAACAAACAGCGCCCTTTTGTTTGAAAATTCTTTGCTAGACTACTATTCAACGTCAAAGAATACATACCCAATGTTCCAAAGTAGGACTGAACTTAACCTGTGAGTAGCTAAACAATGTTTGGTCTGTAGATATCATTACCGAAGTTTGACTTGATAATTTCGAATAAATTGAGCGTTGGGTAGTTTGTTATAAATAAATAGTATATTTGTAATATCCCAATGAGTAGAAAAATTAGATTTTTTGACGTTTCGTGACTTACTGTAAGTCACTTCTTCAGAGAATAAATAACCACATTAAACTTGGATTAATTTTAATTTGGTTATTTATTCTCTGAAGAAGTGACTTACACTAAGTCACGAAACGTCAGAAAATCTAATTTTTCTACTCATTGGGATATTACAAATATACTATTTAATGTTTGGTCTCATTGAATGTTATTGTATGTAATTTTTCAGAATCGAGTTACCACATCTGCAATACCGAGCCATGCTATACCCGTCGATGGTTCCCGCGTTCGTCATTTTTGATCTTCCCTATGTGTTACATGTTGAATGTAAGTCTTGTCAGTAATCATATTCTCAGCTTCAAAGATCGTCCTGTTAGGAACAAATATCACTACACTACTCTCCCACCAGAGTCATTGTGACGGTTTTATGACAAATCAAGTGGGATTTTAGCGCGCTTGAGGGATAAGAATCCGCTGAGTATTGACGAACTAAAAGACAAATTAAAAAGGAGGCGGCAGCAGCTGATTGGGAAATAGGTGTAGTAGTTTCAAAAATGCTTGATTTAATTCTTAACACGCTTAAAATGAGAATACATGTGAAGATTGATTAGTGGTGAAACAGGGTGAAATTATCATGATGAAGAACGACTTAGTATGAAGTTATTTTAACAAATAAAATTAAGATGCGTAGTATCAGTCATTGGTTAATAGCTTAACGTGTGGGCAGTATAAATATTTTGTGCATAGAGATAAAAAATAATCGGTATGATAGGAATGATTATATTGGTTTTATCTTTGGTTTAATTAAGAAAATCGTTAACGATTAGGCCGGTATACTGTATATATGAGTTTATTATCAGTTCTATCTGCATTAGAAGGTTAACTGATGAAACAGAAGTCTAAACGTGGAAAGCAAGAATTTCAGTTAGTGTTCCAGCTAGTTTTTCAAGTTTACTATGGTTTGGTTAGTTACGGGGAGATTCTCTCGACCTCGTTATTGCTTAAACATGATAGAACTTAGTAATACTGACAATACATACGAGGTGTCATCAAAAATTCATTTATTAAGTGAAAATACTCATAATTATGTGAATCTTCGATAGACAGTTGGCGGTAGTTTGCTTTACGTCAGTACATGCAAAAGGGATATACTTTAAACCCAATGCAACGATGAAAACGCCAATATTCGGTCCGAACACAGGACTAATGAACCAAAGTTTATTCGATTAAATCGGACTACGTTCTTCTGTATAGCATACGAAGCGTTTTTGAGTGACTCGTATCAGATTATATCAAAATACAAACTTTGCGCTCAACTTAGACTGTTCTGATTTTAAAAAGAGAATAAATCATATTAAAAGTACAAAACGCCTCGAACGGTACAGCCTAAGCTATACAGTCAAGGGTTCCTCAAACGCAAACTAACGTGCTAAACAACAATAGGAATAATCAATAAACAAGAGTTTGATGCCCGAGAATCAATAAAAGTATTCCCAACAAGAGATCAGAAATCTATATGTAGAGATTCCGTCAACTTTTCCAAGCAGACAGTCAGAGGTTGACAGTCATACACTGGACCACACCGTGACCTTGAGTTTAGTCAAACACGACCTCATTGGCAATAGTTGGGCAAACAAATGATTGACAATATTGTCCCATGAAATGCTGTGGGGGGTTTCAGCGCATTCTTCCCGGTACACTCGGTGTTCTGATGTTCAGTAAACCAGCTTTTTAATTTTTGCTTACCGGATGAAAGTGCATACCAGCTG